TTTGCCACAGGTATACTTACAGTGTGATAGTGAATTGTTGGTAGCTACACTCCAAATATTCTCTTCCAGATGCTACCAGCTCCTACTACAATGTCATGTAAACCACCTGTCCCTAATTTGTTTAGTAGAATACCATGAGACCAGGGACTTTACCTGTTTTACCCACAGGTAAAACTACTGTGGTTCTAAGACTGGTTAATATGAGGTTGATGAAATCAACTTCCTAAGTACTGTTTTATAAGGAAATTTCTTTTGAAAACCCTGAATTTATTTAAGGAGACCGGGATATTGTGGGATATAGACCTGACCCTTGTGGCTTATACTGTTTGTTATTGCACCCATAGCTAGATTTGTATGTGTAACCAAGATTTATGTTGCTGTGGCAACAGGGAGACACACAACTGTGCTGAATTTCCTAGATCTTTGAAGTAGTTCTCCTAGTCCAAAATGGGATTGAGAATTCCCATCAGCCAGTGGAGAGTGTAAATAAGACAGGCTCTCATTAAGAGTCTGAAATCTTGCATATCTGACTTTAAAACTGAGTTGAGCAAATTCCTGTAGCTCATCGGAGGGTTAGAGAAAATAGGCAGTTGCAAGAGAAGAGACAAAAAGAAAACTTACGGCTCAAATTAATCAAGAGCAATTGATTTGAAGATAAGTAGGAGCACTGCAGAATTTGATAATTACTATGAAAAATCACAGGGTACTTCAAGAGGGCATTGAGCAAAAAGCTTTGAGCATGTTCCAGGTATTGTGACTGGGCTGGAAATAGAGGGAAGAAGGAACTGAACCTGAGCCAGGTCAAGACTTCACAGTATTGTATATTAAATTAAAATAGCAGTGGTGATGCAGCACATGTGAAGGGAGACAGAAGAAGATGTGAAAATCTTGCATGGGTGGGAGAGGGTAACTTGTAGTAGATAAGGAGGGCTGCAAGGGATTCAGAAGAACTGCAGGAAGGTATGGAAAGCTTTAGGTAGGCTGTCATAGAGGCAGAGTTTTTGGACTGAACATCACCTCCTGCCCTTCAGTGTCAGGACACACTTTGCAGCAGGGAACTGGTGACTGTTTTGTCTGCTTGAGGATAAGGTTTTTAATGCAGTCAGTCACAATCAGAATTCAGGCAATTTCAAAAGGAAACAAAAAGTCTTAACACCCCCCAAAATAATTCTGATTTTTTTTAATGCTGGAAACTGGGTTTATTAATTTTTGGCTGTTGTCATTTCAAGGTCACATGGTTAAATGTAGTTATTATTTCATCAGCGATAGAAAACGTCTGAGCAATATGACTCTCCTTAAAAGCAGTATCCTTGAAAAGTTAATTATCTAAAAGGTTGCAAAATGGTAATGGGAAAGGAAGAAACTAGGTTACCTTGGAGTCAGGGAACTTTTAGTGAGGTACATAGCTATGAAAACATATGATATCCTATGTTTGTATGATTCCTTTTACCTCTGGAAAGCTGTAATATTTTAGTTTATTTTTAATTTTGCTTTAGAACAAAACCAAAATCAAAACCCCAAAAAGCAAATCAAAGAAGGAAAATGATGATGTAGGAAAGTGTCAATGGTTTCAAACAGTTTTGTTCATATACCACAGTTAGGTGTGATGGACTGGTGATCCATTTGCCCGCCAGTTCTGCAGAAACTACACAGTTTTCATCCAGTTTTCTCACTTCATGTATCAGCTGCAACAAGAGCCTGTTGCAGTCTCATGATAGAAACCTAGATGACCAGGAAGCACTGAAATGGAAGAGAATGCAGCTCTTCATTTGATATCCAAACTGCTTGTTTGCAGGAGGCTGACATTTCTTAAGCTGCATACACATTTTGGGGACTTGTCAGAACTTGCTGCAGAGTGACTGAGCAGCTGGGTGCCAATTTGCTGCACGCTTCCGGCTCTGCTCCTAGTCTCTGCAGGAGATCTTTGGCAGGAATATAAGCACACAAAAAAAAGAAGATCTGAGCATGGGGAGAGTGTGTCCATAATAAACATCTTCTGCTCTTCTTCTCTTTGCTTATTGGAGCTCTTATGAGACAGCTTCCAGGTAATGAGGACTGGAGCAGATGCTGAAGCAGTGGGACATCTTGGGTTTTCATTTCCTCCTTTGCAAAACAGACTTTGTGATTATCCTGGAGGCTATAATTCAGAAGTTGGATGAACTGAACGTTTTCTAGAAGTTGTGTGCAACAGAGACACTGTATGGTACTTTCACAGCAAAGAAGTTGTAATGGTTGTATTTGTTTATAAAGAGAAATTGAGGTATTGAGTTTGGCTTGAGAAGTTACCTAGTTCTAAGTGTTTGATGACATTTTGTGTTTTCAGTGATGTTAGACTTGACTGAAACTGGTACAGCTGCAGGTCTGGTCAGATTCCAGAGGTCTCTTGCCTTTTGTAAACATTGAAATGAAAAGATTTGTTACTAGGACATTTCCCTGCTGTGCTGCAAAGTAAAACCTGGTGGTGTTATGGATCTTGACTGGAAAGTCACATTGACAAGTCTAATTTCGTCATGTGACTTAATCAGTCTACAAAATAGAAACAGCTGGAATAAAGTTCTAACAAAAGGTTAAATGAGAGAATTTGTATTTTAGTAAACTACTGTTGTTTAAAGATTATAACCAAATTAATATCTTAACAATGTTTATTAAGTGTTTCTAAAAACAATAACCTTTAATTTAGTGTTGTAATGCATGAGAGTCTCCACCATGTCCTATATAGCAGAAGACTCAGTACCAGTTCCAGTGAATGAGAACGTTAAAGGAGAAGCTTAATGGTCTTGGGATTCAGTAGGAAACTAAGCCAAATTTCAGCCTATGTTGGAACTCAGTAAGACATTTTAGGGAAAGTATAATAAAACATTGTGTCAATGGGAAAATCCTTACCATGTTCTGTGTCAAGTCCAAGTTGGCTTTTGTGTTTATTTAAAATATTCAAGTTAGCATTCACTTCAAACAGCTGCTTCTGTAGTTGGTATAAACTGAAATTCCTGTAGCATTCTCTTTTTCTTTTTTTTTTAAGAACTAAGAAGATTGAACAAAGAGCTTCAGGTGGAAGGATAAAAACACTTGGAAACACTGAGCCACATAGTAACTAAACATGAAATATAAACTAAAGCAAAGAGTTTATCAGTTGACAAAGCAAAAGAAATGATTGTTAGTCTTTGTATTTTGTTCTTAGAGGATTTCTAGGCAGTTGAGCAACTAAATAGAGTATGTTTTGAGGCGGAGAAGAAAGATAGCTGCAGACATGAAACACCCAATTTGTTTTATGTAAGAATCAAATAAGAAAGAAAGAATGGGCTTTTGACTCACGAGAATCATTGTTTGAAATTATTGCAACTAACCCATCCTATTTCTGACAACAGAACTTGAAATGATGTTCTGAGAAAAAGTTATCATTGAATAACTTCTGGCACATGTAATACCATTTCAAGCCTGTGTTTCAGTACTGCCAACTTCCTGTGGTTCAGTCTGTTGTAGTTTTCTACTCTTCAAGATGACACTGAAAATGTGCCTACTAGGAATTTACTATACTGCTACTGAATTTTATATAGCTATATTCAGCTAGTGAAAGATGAGGTAGTGCATCATTAAAAATATTGTGGGTCATGTAAGAAAAAAAGAAAGGACTGTGAAAACATTGAACATAAGTGTTTTGAACAGAAATATTCATAGATACTATAGTCAGACTGTGACAGTTGTGACAATTTAGCCCAACCTCTTACACAGCAGAGTATATAAAACCAGTGAAATGGATCAAGTCTTACATGCTATTCTTGTAAGCACTCGCACACACTTAACTTGAAGTACAGTATTTTTTTTCAGTCACTGGGATTATCTCCCATTTTAGAAATTAAAAAGACTGTGCTTGTGGTACAGGTGTCTGGAGGAGCTCACATGATTTGTTACTATGCACAATATTTTAAATCTTTTCTGATGATAACTTATTTAAACAGTAAAAATGACAGAAAGAAACTTTTTTATTTATGATTCCAAAATGTATATTATTTCAAACTCAAGGAAAGCTAAAGAAGAACTTGTATGTTTAGGTCTGTGCTTCTGACATTTTCAAACGCAGACAAAGGAGTCAGTTTTGTAACTTCATCTTGGTATGTATTGCTTAGTTTCTTGATAGCAGTTTGGAAACAGGCTTTAATCTCTGCTGAGTACTTGGGCAATGAAATATGTTCTGGTTTAATAATGGGAAAGAATATTTTGTGAATAAACAGGCAGTTTGAATTAGTTTAAAATATGCCTTAACACTTTGAATCGGCCTCCATCAGGTTTTAAAGCCTGACCTAGTTGGTTCCTGGGTGAATGGAAATCTTAAGGAAGGCCTAAGATTCTGTGTAAAGGGATTCAGTGTCTGCATCCACTCTGAGTAATATTAAAAGTCAAAGAAGGTGACACTTTTCAAAGGAATCACTAAACTAGAATACTTCACCAAGAAACGGAGTGGGAGCAGGGAAATCATGGTTTTGTTGCTGAAAAACTTCAACCAACTCATCACTTCTAGAGGGTACATAAACCACAAATGATTTGTGCGTGATTTAGGGGCTTTGTTTTCAGGGTCCAGGTTGTATTTCACATGACATACTAATAATAGTTTGCCTACTTACTCACCTTAGCTACAACTGGAAAGTTTGTTCTTAATGTATTATTTTCAATCATTCTGCACTTCTGCTGAATACAGTCTCTGTTTTGCACCACATAAGCTTTTACTACATCAGTGAACTTATTTAGATCTGTGCATATTATTGCATAGGGGCATACAGTTATATAATGCTCCTCAGGCAAGATGATACGTTCTGTTTTTTTCTTGACTTTCATGAAGTAAAATCATAATCCTTTGAGTAAAGCCCATTTTATAAATATGATGGCTGTGATTTTATGATTGTAAACTTACAATGTCCTGAATGATGCATGCTTATCGAATGTAAAGTCTACTCTACAACAGTTTGCTTTTTGTTATGTATAATCTTTCTTTATTATGTTTTCAGGATGGAACATGAGGCTACCCAACTAGAAAAGCAGCACGTGCATAGCGTGTATGAAAATACAGCTGCCTACTTTAATGATCTGCAGAGCAAAGCATGGCCTCGTGTTCGAAACTTCCTGCTGGAGCAGAAGCCTGGCAGTCTTGTTGCTGATATAGGTAAGCCGTTCTTTGAGGTGGTGTGAAAGAGTCTTTATAAGCTTGATCAGTTTGCCATATGTATCCTTCAGAGCAACTGTTTTTTAAACTCATTTAAATTTGGTTTAAAGATTTTTTTTTATTTTTTATAAACCCATAATAAATGCCATATACCACTTGTTCTGTTTCTTTGGCAGTGTATCAGATAGCCAGTAAATAAATTTTCTACCTTATTTTTGTTGAGCTAAGCTTTAATCTATCAGTTTCCCCACAGGATTAGTGGTCTGCCGTTCCCCTGGAGCCCTTTTTAAAGAACAGTGTTAATAGCTCAATTATTTCATATTTTGATTTCTTTAGATCTCTTGGTTTAAGTGCTGCTTCATTTGTTCTGAAACTCTTCCGCTCAAGGCTTTACCTTAAGAGAAATCTTCTGATGTGATTGCTATTGAAAAAACCCTATGATCTGAGAATCTCCCTATGACCCTGAATACAGACAACAAAACCTGACTTTCTTGCTATGGTGGTGTCTTCCCTACATGTTCAATTTATACCTTGATTTTCTGTTGCACCTACCTAAAATTTAGGGGTGTCCAACTCCTGTTGTGTTTGCTTTCTGTTATGACTTCAGTTCTGTACAGCCCATCATTACAAAACAGATGCTCCTTTGCACCATTGGATTTTCCTCTCTGTTTAGACTAATAAAATGCTTTAATACAGCAAAGTGTAATAGATGTACACAATAAATTATTCATGTGCCTTATTCTATAAGAATGTGCCTTATTCTATAATTATTTGAAGATGTTGCAGGCCATAATCAAAAGATAAATATAGCTGTGCTGCTGTTGAGCAGTACCCCCAAAATACTTGATTGCTGTTATTTTGAATGTTTATCTTCTTTTATATGTCTGCACCATTTTCAGTAAAAATATCCTATGGTATACACTCATTCAACAGTCAGCTTAACATGATTATTTCTCAGCCAAAGTTTTTTATCACCACAACAGAAGTCATCTGAAGCTTAGCTGAAGTTCTTTGAGGCTTTATCAGCAGGTATCACAATGGTTGCTGAAAGCTTAAGATCACCCTGTTACATTTTCAGCTCAAATAATTTAAATGTATGGGTAGATGCTTACAGCTGACAATAAGAATATTCCCATCAAGGCACACAAGGTGTCTCTTTTCATGAGGTTTAATAAGATACGCAGGAACTAACTATTGTGTGTATTTTTGGTATGTATTTTGGGAGGAGGGTTGCCTAGTGGCACTACATTTTTCAAAATGAGATCTTCAATTGATAATTGCATTATCTGTTTAATGCCACCTTTTATTAAAATACCATTTTATCTAATTGCCTTATTATTGTCCATTCATCAAAATAAATGACAATAGTATGGCTATTGTTAACAACTTCATGAAGGAATCCACCCTCCTGATGACTCATTTAAAAGGGAGTGTCGATTTTTAGAGTACTGGCAGTGTTGTCACTATTTAGCTTCATTCCAGAGAGAACCCTCTACTTCCAAAACCTCACTGTGATTAAAAAGCACTCCAACAAAAGCCATGTATTAAGCAATTGAGTCTTCTAAATTAATGTACATTTGCCTAAATGTGTTTCTTCTGCGAACACAGTAACCAATAAGATGTTACACTAATTTAAAAACTTATGGTTTCTAGTGTGGAGAGGCTCATGTTCTATTGCATATATTCCTTGAACTGCATTAACAATAAAAATCTATTCCATTTTTCTCAAGTGTCACTTCAAAGGGTAGTGCTTGCTTTATACTTCAGAAATATGATCTTTTTTCACCACTGAAGTATTGTGCTGTTCTCCAGCAGTTCCTGTGCTGTCTCTGTAGATAATGGTGCACATTAACATCAGCGAGAGCAGCAGCGCTGCAAGAAGCAGCGATGTTTCTAAAGATAACTCCAGGCCTTTAAACTGAATTACCAGTACTGAGATGCTTCTCTTTGCCAAGCTGCTACCCCGTTGCTTGGCTGTCAACCTTCAGAAATTATTCTTCACTGCTGACCCATAACTGCAGTGAATGTTTCCTAATCTAATTTTGAAACCTGCCTGTTATGCGTGCGATATTAAAGAACACTGAAAGATTCCAATTTAGTACAGCTCTGTCCTTGGGAAGACATACTTTTGGGTGGAAGACATTCTGGAACAGTTAATTACATTTACATGCATTATAATATATTGGCACAAAGACAGAAAGAGGACATGCCTGCAACATGGCAGGAATGTTTATGATTCACAGTTATTTTCAAGTCTGTATCTGAAGTTAAATTTCTCCTCTCTGACTTGTGCCAGTGAAAGCTGTGATTTAGGACTTCTGAGGAGAAATGAGATGCACTAGAGATGTGCTGTGTGGGGTTTAGCAAAGGCTGTGGATGGACTTAGATCTACCTAAATGGACAAAACATGCTCACTTCAGGAAATTCCCTGAATAGAAAGTAGTTGGAAGCTGGAAGGGTATTGATGAAAAGGGTTGTAATGCTTATTACCCTGCTCTTACTGGGTGCCCATTTATGCTCATTGTTGGAAACAAGATACCTGGTGATACAAAGGCTCAGTATGATCCTATGATTCTATGAAGCAAGCATGGTTGTTTTTTCTCTAAGATATGCCATAATGGCTGCAAAGGACCACTCCTTCCTCCTCCCACCTACACTTATTCCCCAAAGAAATACACGTAACCTGGTAATACACAGGGCTGTGTAATGAGTATTTTTATTGGTGATGTTCGTACTGTTATGCTCCTTATTGTGTGAACATACAATTTCCTGGAAACCTTAGAATTATATAGGGATGCTGGGGATGGACTCTTCATTAGGGACTGTAGTGATAGGACAAGGGGTAATGGGTTAAAACTTAAACAGGGGAAGTTTAGATTGAATATAAGGAGGAAATTCTTTCCTGTTAGGGTGGTGAGGCAGTGGAATAAGTTGCCCAAGGAGGCTGTGAATGCTCCATCCCTGGCAGTGTTCAAGGCCAGGTTGGACGAGGCCTTGGGTGATATGGTTTAGAGCGAGGTGTCCCTGCCCATGGCAGGGGGGTTGGAACTTGATGATCTTAAGGTCCTTTCCAACCCTAACTATTGTATGATTCTATTCTATGATTCTATGAATTAGGAAGGCCCTCCCATTATTTTCACTGCTTTGGGAGGCATAGTGAATGTTTGGAACATATGACTTCTGATCTATCATTCTTTTCTTTAGGCTGTGGAACTGGAAAGTATCTCAGTGTCAACAATCAGGTGTATAATCTTGGCTGTGATTACTGTGGACCATTGGTAGAAATTGCAAGGAAGAAAGATGAAGAAGTTCTGGTGTGTGACAACCTTAACCTTCCCTTCAGGGACCAGTGCTTCAATGCAGTCATTTCCATTGGTGGTAAGAAAACACACACGCATGCTGGCCCACAGCAAATGAGATTTTTTGGGGGATCCTTTTCTTTCCATGTGTCTTCAGTTAAATTTGTTTGGAAACAATTCCCTTTGAAACACAGCAGATATTACTGAAATGAATGTAGTAAACATGAAAAACAAAATAATTAGTTCCATTGCACAGAGGTGCTGTTGACAAGGGAAGTATGTTCATCATTTATTTGTTTATATGTGGTCTTGTTCACCCTGGTGAGAAAAGATTTCCTTCCAGCATGCATTTTAAACAAGTAAAACTTTACATGACTGTGGCCAAAGTTTAAACAGATTAGGTGGTCAAGAGAAACTCTTGGTTCCTCCTTAGGATCTGTTTTGACCAGCAAATGCATTGAAATGAAAATTTGCTTTCTCTATAGCAGAACTTGAAGCGCAAGTTAACTATTATACTATGAATTCAAATTTCTCTTAGAGTAGTATTGAAATAAGACTTAGAGCCATACAAGTGCCTGTTGTCTAAAATGAGCATCTTAACTCTTCTGACCTCTTTTTTTGTAAATACTACTCATAATTTGAGAAGTATAAACTGGAAAAGGGTTTATGAGGAATAGAGTACCCAGTTGCAGTCTACTTTTTTGGCTCTACACTTGCTTGAACTTCTTTCAGGCTGTTTCACTGTATCAGCAAAAATATAAAGCGGGGTAGTCATTGGTAGCAATAAACAAACTACTTGTAATATGGTAGAAGTGTATTTTCAAATGTATTGTCACATATGGAAGGAGAAAGCAAGGGTGACTAATGTGCAAGCAGTATCTACGTTAATTTGCTTTCATGTTGGCTAGTCAACCGGTAAACCCTATCAACATTTCAGGTCTTCGAGCATAATTTCAGTGCTACCAGATCATCTGTCTTTGAAGTATAGTGTACCTACCTAGTGTTTATACCAGCTATAGGCCTGACAAAATTAGAAATTCACATGGTATATCTGTTCCTTAACAATAGTGGATTTTAATTCCTCTCGAATAGAGACATGGCATGCTTGTGTCCATCTAATTCTAAATGAGTGGTTTTCATTCCATTCCAGAGAATAGCAAGTATTAATGTACATAGTCAAATACACTTCTTGGCTTTACTGGTATAATCCTGTATAAAAAGTTTTAATTTCTGCAGGACCACCAGATTATATAATTTTATCCATGAAAAATATTTAACCCATTAAATTAATTGCTTAGAGCTTGTACAGATATTGTTAGTTGATTGGCACTTACTTTCTGGTGAACTAAGCTACATGCTTTTGCTGTCTCTGTCAGTTTTGGTATTGTTTTCCAGGAGCTTCTATGGTGGTATATGGCATAGCTCCAGTATGAGAGAATATATCAGTTCTTTTCTCCCTATCTTGTTCAAGAAAAGGCTAACAAGAGTCATGAGTAACTGGAAAAGAACACTGACCATATAGACTGGGGAACTTTTCTCAGAGTTTGCTATCTTGTATTCTCAGCTGCTTGTGAGGGCCTAGTTAATATCAGCTGCCAAGAATGCTTTTTTTGGCTTGTAGTGAAAAATGTATTTTTTTCCCCTTTGTAATTTAATCATTGTTTTGAATAAAGGCAGGGCTAGTTGGACACACTTTCATAACTACAGTGCTGAAATAACACTATTTCTACAAGTAGAATTGGCTACTATTAAGCAGCACGTATAAAGATAATCTAATTTTTCTGATGGTATGGAGATGTCTTCAGCAAAGAACATATATTATTATTGTATCCTTTATATGGGTAGACTGAATGTTTTGCATGTGGAAGTGGCTGGCTCCAAGTCCACTTGAAACAAATTATGTAATCAGTCCTCTTTATGCTATTGATTGAATCAGATCTAGTACCAATCACATATAGAATGATATGAGCAACGTGACTTATCTGAGTACAAGTTAATATTTCTGAGAGAAAATAGATGTCTTAGCTATTCTCTGGCTGTTGAAATAGGTTCCTTTAGGTAAATAGCAAGATAGAAACCGTAGAAATATTGAAATGTAGGTTCATTTCACATTGCAGTGAAATTGGAAAATAGGGAAATTATCCTGGAAATAAAATTAAAAAATAATGATCAGTAGTTTTATTCTGAATTTAATAATTATTTATAATAACATAATGTAACAAAAAATTATCATTCTCAGACTGAGATACCTCTCCTTTTTTTTTTTTTTCCCAAAGCAGTCTGTAAAGGCAGTAACTTTTATATAAAATCAAAGCAGTGGAAAATGTTTCTGTTTCATTTTTCTCACTAGCTCTTTAAGAAAGTGCACTGATACAAACATACAGAGTATCTTTTTAATGATACTACATTTTGCTGTATTTGTTACATGGTGAAAAGGTTTTCTGTTTTCAGTATGATAAGTCTGAAATGTGTCCCAAAAACTAAAGTTGAACTTAATATTACCTAACTCACCTAAAGGCCAGGCATTTAAGTGAAAGCAAGCCATGTGACAAACTTTTATGGGCAATGCAGAGAAACCAAAGCCTCCATCTTACATGCCTGACGTTTCTTGAATCCCTATTTTGACATTAGATAAATTTCCTTCTTCAGGATTTTCCTGTTTTTATCCATTGTACATAAATGTAAAAAAGAGCCTTCTGAGGTAAACTTGCACTGTGGCACCAATGAATTCAGCACTGTTGACTTGCAGTGAGTGATTTTTGGGATATGGCAACTAAAATGACTGAACACACGGAACAGGTTGAAGACAAAAATGCTATGTCCTTACTAATATTCAGTACATAATGCCTTTCCTTTTTCACAGTGATCCATCATTTCTCAACTAAACAAAGAAGAATCAAAGCAATAAAGGAAATGGCAAGGGTATTGATACCCGGAGGCCAGATGATGATCTATGTTTGGGCTATGGAACAAAAGAATCGTCGCTTTGAGAAACAAGACGTACTTGTTCCATGGAACAAGGCCTTGTGCTCACGGCATTTTTCAGAATCAAATCAATCTGGAGATAAGGGTGAGTTTGTGCATGCTGTAAAGAGCCAAGATATACATCCTGCACAGCTAGTCATCTCTGACTGCAGCTACCAAACCAATCTCCAGCCAGAAACTGACTCAAAACATTCCCACAATATGGACCATTGCTTGTCCAGAGCCTGCTGCATGAAAATTTCTGAAGAAGAAAACAGATTTTACAGTGCTCTGGGAAAATCTTTCCGCTCCTGGTTTTTCTCTACATCCCTTGATGAATCAGCCCTGAGAAAGCAAGCTGACAAAATGAAGCCTCCAAAGAATGAAGGAGATTGGGCAAACAGTACTATACCCATTCAGCATTCACGACATTGCAGTTTGGATTTAGGTCACCATGGGGCACTGTTAAAAGAACAAAGTTTAGATGATGATGATGTGTTTGTGGAAAGCCTGTCTCTCAAAAAACCACAGTGGTCACCAGCCACAGATGCACTGAGGGACTTAAGTTTAAATGGAGGACACCAAAGTGTTGCTCAGAGCAAAAGTGAAGAAGCTTCATGTATAAATGGCCCAGTAGAAGACAGGGACTACAGCTGTGGTTGTAATAAAGATGGTGCTGGTACGTCTAATGCGAGCAAGTCTTTTAAAAGAACTTCAACAACTGACTCCACTGACTCTGCTTTAGATACAGCAGTCTCTGTTGGGGACCAAACTGATGCCATGTTGGATACAAAAGCCTTCATGCGTTACTATCATGTTTTTCGGGAAGGGGAGTTGTGCTCTCTGGTAGAAGAGAGTGTGCCTGAGCTTCAGATACTTTCTTCCTGCTATGACCATGGAAACTGGTGCATTATTGCAGAGAAAAGAGGAACATAGCTGTAAAGAGAATAAAGCAGAATCCAGTGACTGAAGCTTTTAAGCTTCTCTTTGTGTTTCTGTGATCATGCAGTGTGACATGGGTTTTGAATCTCATGTAGTTGCCGTGTGCCATTCATTTCTAAGTGATCTCTCTACCTGTTTAACTATCTAATGCAAGGTGTGTATATACAAATGTAAGTGGTAAACAATATTTACGTTTTGTTAAACTTTTATGAGGTTAAAACTGGAGAGTTTTATATTGCTTTTCGCAAATAATTGTGTTTTTAAATATACTTTTCTATTGAGAAATAAAACCTTTTTATAAGACAAGGATCAGGGCATCTTTTATGAGAAGTATCCTCTCAGTAGAAGGTTTAGGCTTTGTTCCTCAGACACTGAAAATGTGTCATGTTACTTCCTGTTCTTGAAGTCCTGTAAATAGAGACACAGGTACATTTGAAAACATACTTGACTGTATACTGCTGGAGTGCATGCTGCAGAACTGGGAGCAAGCACGGTCCTAGTGCTACTTAGCTTGGAGTAGAGTTGTTAATGGGAAAAAAACAAGCTCTGCATGTTCTGTCATCTTGAGATTTGTATATGGGAGCAAATGACAGAACAGATTTTGAACAGTATTTTTGACTTTTGTTTTAAAAAGACTTTAATTTATCAGGTGCAAGTTAGGGTTTATGTGTTAGCTCTCCCAAATACTTTGTCTTAATTTCATTTGCTGTAGTTTTTTCATTGGTTATGTGTATATATAGAAGTCAAGAGGGATTTGTGAGAATATTGGTATTATGTAAAGGTTACAAAACATCAGATATTTGGGATATATATATATCTTTTTGATAAGCCTGTGAGGCTATGATAAAATTAATAAAAATCCAGTGCATATCTGGTCAGCTGTTATATTTGCTTTCCTCTTTCACTGACATAAGAATGTATATTACATACTGTGTTAAATAATGTAGATAGGAAGAGGGTACAAGTTTGTATACAAAATAGAAATTCCTGTTTTCTGCAGTTTAAATGAATCTTTTGAGACCTAGATGATAATAGACTGCTTAAAAAACTTTCTCATCCCCTGTCAAGAAAACCATAAATCTTACTGAAAATGGTGCCTCATCGTCATCCAGTTGTACAGGATTATAGCAGTTGCCCTCACAAAGTTCTTTACACTCACGTAATCTCACCCCTTTCAGTGGAGGCTTGGGATGTGAAGTTACATGTGCTGTTGATAAAGTGCACCTGGCTTCTGAAGATCAGTAGTGAAGCTTTAATTTATACCAACAGAAGCAGGGCTAGAACAGGCTAACTGCCTTGTTAGCATGGAGTTACCTCATTTTGAGGCTTTATTTACAGTCAGTGGGTCTAGTATAGGGCACGTCTCCGGTTGATGTGATGTCACAAACTTTAATGGAGCTGCATAGATTCACCTCAGAGATCAAACCTTTTGCTACAGCACTTTTAGAGAGCCACATAATGTCTGCTCTATTATTGAGCAAATAACTGAAAAAAAAGGCAACAGGAGTGGAATTCCAAACTTTTCCAGTCTATGCTGTGTAAGTATATGGATTTGAGGTTGTTCAGTAGAAAGCCCTGATGATATTTTTAGATGTAGTTGCCCAGGAGTAATTGCCACAAGGTAATGTATTACACATTTATTTACTGGAGTGGTGCCTGTAGAACAATCATTTTTGTCTTCCTCATAGTTTGGGATCCTGGTACTTTGTCCTTCCTGGGTCTGTACCACTTGCGCTTTCCACTGCCTTTTTGCAAATAGACATGTGGTTGAAGAGCCATGCATCTGAGACTTATGAAATATTCAGCTCTAAATATAAAATTCAGTGCAGCCTGGAGCTGTGGTTCACAGACTCTGTGTCTAAGCCATACTTCAGAAGACTGGCAATATACTCTGCCTAGCTGTGTCCACCTGCTCATGACTGAGGGGGCTGCTTCTGCTGCATCCTAAAGCTCTGGTTTTAGAAGCATAGTGTAAAAATACCGATGCTGGCATATTGGAGCTCTGTACCTCATCTGCAACATGCTTGTGTTGGACAGGCGATGCCTGCCTCAATGGTTGGAAATTCCTGGAGAAGCTTGAGGATTTCAGAAGAAAACTCAGTTGTTTAGATATGCAAGAAAGTTTATGAAACTTAGATATGCCAGTGGAATTGGCATATTGGCTAATGGGCCATACACTGTATTGGCCGATTGGCTATACAGCTGCTGGAATTTGGGCTGTACTTAGGAAGGGTGTAGGTTGATTACCATCCTATATCCGATACTGAAAGTTCACCCCTAAACTCCAGTATGCAGACACTGTATTGCACATCTCTTAAAATATTTATAAAATATTACTTATCTAAAGTGAGTGACAGCTGGGTTCCATTAAGTGGGAGAAGGAACCGTTCTATGAATCTGTCATTTTGTCACCTGTACTTTTGCAGTCTGTTTGTGAAGTATGCAGTGTGTAGTCAAGGATACTAATGAAACTTGGGATAAACTAAGAAAGGAAAGGTGTCCATGCTCTTTAAAACAGAGGCTGAGCCTGTCTTTCAGGCTTCAGTGAAAACTTCCTACTCTGTCATCTGTATGAGTAAGAGGTGTCACCTCAAAGCCACTTTGGTACTTTAAACAGCTTTTTTGCTTGTAGACTTTCAGTGCATTTTTTGGTTTGAGGTTCTTGGATTCTTGACCAGGGATGCTTTTCCTGATTATTTATTTCTGCATTGGCTTTTCCCTTGCTTTGGGCTGATGCTAATAAGTCATGTTACATAGAAGTTTGGATTGTATTGTTACAAATTCCTTGGAGAAGGAGAGGGGAGGTTTGGTAAACTGTTGTGGGTTTGTTGTTTTTTTTTTTTTTTTCCCCAAAATATTAAGTTTTCCTCTTCGAATGTATAACCACTGTATTTTTATAGACTGGGGATCAGTCAGCTGAGGTCACAAATGTGAGGTCTGCACAGCAAGCCTTTATTCCTATATGCTGTCTCCCGTCTATTTATGGAGTCTGCGCAGGTCTGTAACAGCTTTATCATCTCATAACAAGCCAGCCTACCTCACTGAGAGCATGGTGAATGTCTCTCTTGATTGGTTTCAATTTGATGAGGCCCGTTCAGAGCAAAATGTAATATCCAGAAGAATCCATGTGACCCCAGTCTTTCATAGCTTACAGACATAGTTAATGTGCGCAGAGAAGTGTGCATACTGTTGAAAAGTTTATCGTAAATGAATGAATAAATAAGGAAATAAAACCCAGTTGTCCTTGCACTCTCAAACTCTCAGCAATGTCCAGGCTGCAAGATCTGACTGTTACAAGGTAAAAAGGCAAATGCATTCTTGTATTTCTTGTCTGACAAGTGGACAGTATTCTCACCTCAGTTATGCCGATAACAAACCTGCTTCTGACTGCAGTGGGCTGGGATTGCTCTGAAGCTGCTCATCTAGGTTTAAGTGACACATAGGAAATCTTGATTACACAAGAAAAAGATGCCCTGTTTTTTTTTACAATTTAATTTACTAGTATCACTGTCAGTCTGAACAGGCAAAACAAATGCTGTTGCTGTATTACTATTACAGACTGTAATCCAAATGGACAATTGCAATTAAAAGGATACAACTGAACAGACTTATTCTTAAGGGCCTAATTCAATGGCAGTCTTTGATAACTGAGATTTTGTTTCGCTGTTTTTTTTTTAAATACATGAAAATGTTTGTATTAGAAGGACAGAAGTATCATTTTTTACTTTCTTCCAAACTTATGGTGTAGGAATTTTAAAAGCACAGCTGAGTAATGGAAGCTATAAATAGTCTACCAGATTTTTTTCTTTTCTGGTATGTAACTGTATACAGGTTACTTATGTGCAGAGTTTAAAATGTTGAGAGAAAAGCTGTATATGGTCTCCCAGAATACTGTTACTGAACCACCTGGGTAGATTCGGAATGGAAATAATGGCTCTGATCCTGTGTCCTCTCTGCTGTGTCATGTCTCCATTGGACTGAATTCATATCACTGTTGGGCTGTATTAGTATCGACACTGTTGAATCTATTGGTCTACCCACTTTCTTTCTCAGCACTTTAACAGAATTTGTGTCTACTTCAATACTCCAGGAAAATCAGATATGTCAGTGTTAAATATATACAATTGTATATTTCTTCAGTGAGTTCAGTGTTCTTACTTTTACAGCATATTCTGGCAGCTACCTGTGATTTCATCTTCCAATCTGCTGGTCAAAACCATACTTAGGTACTTCTCTGTAATCAATTCTTTGTCCATACATGGAACTTGTTCTTTAGTATCCAACAGAAAATAAGGCCTACTTGGACTAAAATACTATTTCCTACAGAACTTCTGTGCTTTCAGATTAGTTAATAAATACATCAGCCACTGGAAAATCTGTGTCTTGGGAATTTCTTAATGAATGTTAAACCTGAGAAGACTTACTTCTGTTTGCTCAGTAAGTTAGACCACGTGCAGAGCAGGTAAGTGTAGTGATTTACTATGAAACCTGGGGATATGTTTTTACTTTAGACAACCGCAGTCAACCTAGCCATAAATGCAATTATTTGAATTAGGTAAATAAAGGTGATGAAATGCAGTTTTTAACCATGTCAGTACTTTATATCCTGTTGATGACAGAAAAGCAGGATGGTCAGCAGAATTAATTGCTACAGAGCCACATTTCCTGCTCCTGATATATTTGCAGTTATCCATGATTAAGCTTTGTAGTGTAAGAAAACACTGAAGCACTTTTGGGGGATTTCTCTAACAATTAGAAAAGAAAAAAGAATGTAATTAGAATTATGCAGTTGTGTGATGAGGTTATATCTATACTGTGCTAAAAGTATTTTTACAGTTGCAGTGATTATTGTGTTTGCACAATTACAGTGATCACTTATTGTACTGATATGTTTATTGTAGTAATAAGGACCTAGAAGTAATTAAGCTCTATCAAGATGAGTATTAATGTATGTGCAGTAGTACAGTATATGCAACCTAATAGTATTTAGATTATGGGAAAGCAGTATGAGCGCAGGCTGGACAATAGAGTGGTCAAAAACGTAATCTCAGGGGGATATGGAATTGTCTTTATGAGAAGGGAATGAATTAAATCCAATACAGCATTGAGAAAGGCTAAGGAAAAAGCGAAGATAGGAAGTATAGAGAGCAATGAAGGGCAATGACAAAGATGGAAGCAATCATAGCAGAGAAACCATATTCAATGTGGTTGGATATTCTTAGGATATGCAGAGGTCCCTGTTTTGATTGTTCTTACTGTCTGGAAGATCTAAGTGATACCTTCCTGTTGTCTCATGTGCAGAGGGAGGAATGCACCTTTTCCCCACCACTTGGAGTTCAATACTCTTCCTGTACACTTCCAACGGTAGGCATATGCCTAGAGGGAGACTGGTTAGGGATAACAATTTTCCCTTCCTTTATATCACTTCATTGCAGCATGTTCCATTTTGATTCCTTTATTCTTGCTTAATGCTTCAATTTGCTGTAGTTGATTTGACCTTGCTCAGCTATGTCCACAATCTGAGGTTGCATTTGGTTTACAGTTACCTCTTCTACCAGTATAGTTCACTAATACAAGCTTTGCATGTGGAAAGGATTGTATGGTTGGATTAAGTAAGTATGAAGGCACAAAAAAGTGCATATTTTCAGCAGTTAATGGCTTCTAATGGCTTGCTGTTATTATTATAGTAACTAAAGTGTATTATCCAGAGTAATGAAAGGATTGCTCTGAGACTCCCCTTCGATGCATCAGGTATGTATATGTGCATACTGTAGGAGAATGTACCAGAGTACCTGTATATTTGATATTTAGATAAATTTCAAAATCTGCCTTGAGTGAACTACTAGATACTTGATTACTAGACACAACAAATATAGCA